CTATTTTGCGACAGAGCAATCTTTACAAAAATCTGTGTCTACAATAACTAGAGTGTGAGATCTTTCAAAATTATGAATTATTTTGATTTGGCTCCGAGACACGTGTAAAAACCTGTGAAAAAGCCTAATTGCTCGCAAAAAGAGGAATCGAATCTAAGGTCATATGACCAGAACTATTCCTTGGCATTGCTAAGAGCACACTCAAAGGAATTACCTTAAACTGAACAGATCTCCATGTACCGGAGAGTTATTCAAGGGCTAATTTATTCAAAGACGTTTATATCCATGAACCTATCTACTCAAGTGAGTGAAAGGAGCAAAAACCATCTACTGATGACATGACGTTGTCATCTAGGTAACCTTATGAATTGCAACAGCAGCTAGACCGAACATAGATATAATATTTATCAACAGCCAAACAAAAAAGTAGGGAACAGGATGGGACTTATCTCGGTCACAAGGCAAGATGTGGCAGTTCTTGTGGGTATCTAGGAGCACACTGGTAAAACGGGCTATATCAAACTACGAAATGGAATAAGAATATAAACAACCGTTAGATTTCTCCAAACATATCCAAAGAAAAAATAGATGAGATCATGGAAGACGCAAGACTAACTGATAACACTAATACAATATTACTAGTTGACTTTAACACAAAAGCGCGTCTCTGGAGCCCTAATAGGAGAAACGCGAGGGGAACTTATTACATCGCGCTAAACAACGGCTTCATCAGAAGAATGAGCATACAGGCTGACAAAAACCTAGAGTGTGTTGCTCGAAGAGTTGTTGAGGCACGACAACAAACGGGTACAAAGCACACTAATAAACAACAGATGCACGAGGCGAGAAAACGAATTGAGAGTGAAATCTTTCTAAGCACCCTAGGATTCTTAGATAAAATACCGGAGAGTCACACGACAACCTCGTAAGAATTCTAAAAAAAGTGCACAGATATCCGGTTAAATCAGATACTCACCCCAACAATCAAACAACATGGTATTGCAGGTTTGCGCCACACAAAAAATATTTGACTTCCGAAGAATCATCATGTTTTGATTTAAAATGCAACAAAAAATTAATAGGGCATCACAATAAGAATAAGCATGACAAAAAACATATTTGAATTATCTGATTCAGACTGATCTGAAAGAAATAGGTACCTATTATTTTTCTTTTTTTTTTTGTCTCCCGACATTAAGTTTTACAAATTTTATTCATTTTATTCTTTGTTTAATTTCTAATTTGAGTATAAAATCCAAAAATGTTTATTTTTCGTTTCTTATATTTATATTATTTATTTATTATAACGATTTCCCCCTGTATTAAAATCTACTGTACAGTTTCGATGATCTACTGTTTTTCCCCGCCCATCTACTGTTCCAGAAAATTTTCACCTGGCTACAAATTGTTAAAAGTAAGAATATTCCAATACAGTATTACAGTTCATCAAATTTCTAGAGGTGTTCGACGCCCAGACAGAGAACGCGCTACGTGTGACTAAGATAGCTATTGTACAGTCTGCTAAACAAGTTATTTTAAATAGTTTTTAATATTTTTAGGTAATTAAATTTTAAAAGTGTGGAATAGTTTAGGGATTAAATTGGTCTGATTGGACTTTCTTAGAACGTTTTTAAAAGCAGCTAAAGATAGTATGTAGAATTGAAAATAATTATTATGCCATAAAAGGTGTTTTGGAATTCCTTCAACCTTTTGAAATTGAGTCAGAAAATATAAATTTTATAGGATAGCGGAAAATACCTATAATTTTTTTGTAGGCCTTTGTAAATCGTGGAAATAGTTTATATTTTATTTCTACCTTATTAAGGAAAATGGTACCTATTATTAATAACGGTTGTTTCTGAAACATTAGAAAAATTTTCGAAATTTTGTTTTTCTACAAAATAATAAACTATACTATTTAGAAAAAAATTTATTTCTCTTATAATTTTATAAAAAATAACAGGGGAATATTTACATTTCTTGATCTATTAAAAAAAACGATAAATTATCTCGACGAATGACACCATGTTCTAGTACGGAAGCTAGCTTTACATTTTTGTTGGTGGTTTCATGGGTTTCATTATCAATTTTTTGTAATTGTAGTTTACACGTACATATACCTCTTAACACTTGTTTGCTTTATTAAAAAAGTGTGTTGTTGTGATTTACGTCGAAATAAGTCAAAAACAACTTGAAACCCCATATAAAATCAAAAAGGAGAAACGGAAAAAAATTGAGCCTGTAAATGAACACAACTCAGAAACAAAAATAGCTATCTAATAATAAAAAAATAAAATTTGATTCTTGTGCAGCTTCATCTATATCAATAACTGTTTTTGGTTTTTTAATGGTTTTTCTTGGTGATGAAAATTCCGATATCTCACGGTTATCGATTCTTTTTTTCTCTCCAGAAAGCGGACGACAGTGTTTTTAGATACTCCTGTGGCTGCAGCAACACGATCACTTACATTTTTAAATGGTATTGAAGGTGAATTAAAGTTTCCTTCTCTTCTCATAAACTCTATAACATTGGCTATTATTTCGCGAGATTGACTGTTAATCACGTGGCCTCTTAATTTGCTATTAAACTCCATACTTAGGTTCTATTAAACTGTAATGAGCAAAAAACACAAACGAAAATAAAAGAAATGTTTTAGCGAAATTTACATCTGACATTTACGTCTGAATGAAATAGTGAAATGCTTGATGCGCAGAGTGTACTTTCATTGCGTAAATCCGTCGGGATGCCTGTCAGTAGTGCTTTCTCTGTCTAGCCGTCGAAAGCCTCTAGAAATTTGATGAACTGTATATTGATAATTTTGCAAAAGATGGTGGTCATATTGTATTGAGGTTACCACTTAATAGCACAGGACGTCCATTACATATCCAGTTATTGCCTGTACGTCCAGGACCGATTCTGGACGTTTTAAGTATGTCCAATTTAGTAAATCCTCGGGACGTCAAAAAATAGATATCCGTAGAACGTCAATTCTACGTGCTTTATTATATGAAGGCCAAATAGACAAAAAACGAAGAAGGTCATTGCAAGAATGGGAAATTGTTGACAAGTGACATTTTATTATTTTTTAATATTATTTATTTAGATTTAAGCACTGAAATTTTATCAGGGCTCAGATTTTATTAAATATAAAGAAAAAACATGGTGCTCAATGTTCAGGATTCGACTCTGTGAGTTTGTAGTTGATTAATATTAATTTTTTGGAGTTTGTACTATTTCTATCTCTGAGAAAGGTAAAAGTTTTCCAGTGAACATAGGCGCCGAATCCCCAGGGCTCTGGGGTCCCCTGAATTCATTTTGACTATTGTCGCGATGATGTTCGTGTGTGTGTGTGCGTGTGTGTGCGTGTGTGTCTGTGTGTGTCTGTATCCTCGATAACTCATGAACGGATACAAAGAAAATCACCAAATTTTAAACTTAAGCTTTATTTCTGCCTTCAGTAAACTGATTAGATTTTGGGCAGAGTCTGAACATCTAGGGGGTACTTTATAGGTGGTTATGTTTATATTTTATGGAATATATCTGTTATTTACGTTTGGAGAAGAAAATTCTTCAAATAAAAGTTACTTACAATATTATTATCTATAATTTTTGCTCAATACAAAATTTTCCTAAAATGGTCCGTATTCAAGAAATTTGACAAAATGTAAAAAAAAATTTATAAAAATTGTTCAAATAAAAGTTGTTTGTAATTTTTATTCTATACATAATTTCTCTAAAATGGACCGTATTCGAGATATTTGAGAAAACGATTATAGGAATAAACATGAACTTTTAAACTTAAGTTTTATATCGCCCTGAGGTGAAATGATAAGATTTTGGACAAAGTCTGAACATCTGGGGGGTACTTTATGGGGAGCCGTTTTCATATTTTATGGAATATATCTGTTATTTATGTTTGTAGAAGAAAATTGTTAAAATAAAAGTTATTTGACAAAATGTGCAAAATTCTGATCTTTAAGAAAATTGTTAAATTAAAAGTTGTTAGCGATATGATTTTTATATGATTTTTCTAAAATGGACCGTAATGGAAAAATTGGAGGAAAAGTACTAAATTTTAATTTTTTAGGATTTTTGTTTTCAATGAATATCTATAGAAAAATGTCGAATTAGATGTATGTGGAACATGTATATATTATTGGTTTATCCTTTAAACATTTATAGAGGTTGTATAAAATAACCGGAAAAAGCCTATAATAACTAGATAGGAAAGTCATGTGTTGGACACATTAGATTTTTATTTTAAATAAAAGTTGTGCTAGCTTAAACGCGTACGTACGAAGGCGTAGAACCTTCACACATTTTTTTTACAAATTTCAACTTGTATTTTGGAATTCCCTACTTGTAACTCGGAATTCCGACTTGTATCTTGGAATGCCGACTTATAACTTGGATTTTCGACACACAACTCGAAATTCCGACATACAACTCGGAATTCCGAGTTACAAGTCGGAATTCCAATTCAGAAGGCTGAACTCAAAATTGGGACTCTTGATATTATATAAATTCCTTGATTAAACTTGAGATAGAGTAGAATTTGTCAGCGGAAAACAAAACAATACCTAGGTACTTATTTGAAAAAATTTATAGGAGAATGTGATTTGAAAACAAGAAGATCATTCTACAGATTTTGTACAGGTTCTGATCTTGCAAATCAAAATATATCTGGTCACAGTGGAAGGCGATCTACTTACGGTTAGTTCCAATATTGATTAATCTTTCAAAATCAACCCACAGCCCAATTTTGAGATATTGTGCCTATGTCACTTACACACACCAAGATAGGATTTTCCTTTAAAAATAAAGAATCATCTGCTTTCCCACTATTTTACGAAAATCAAGTTAGGGCTTATAAATTGTGTATATTATAAATATTTCTGTCAATAATAATAATAATAATAACAGAAAACCCATGGAAATTAAATAGGTACCCCTCAAGATAACAGGACAATGACAGTGCAAATGTAAATTACCTACTTACCGCTAAAATAAAATTAGTCCAAAACACCGCACACTTCACAAGATCTTCATCGCATCCCATTTTATGGGACTTCATTTCAATAATCACAGCGTCAACACCATTTTTTTAATGAATTATTTAACACTTTGTTTATTGATTCTATTATCAGATATCCAACGAAACGTGTCAATGATAATGATAAATATTGTATTAGTACGACAAATGCGAAATGCTTTTAGATATGAATGTATATATGTACTGAACCGCGACAGGATTTAAAAATAAAATCGCGGGGATATCGCTATAACTACGTTCCGCAACGAGCTTAAACAGAACCCGCTAGCGTTCAAAAATTTTAATTTCAATTACAAATTATCTTTTTAAATACTTTAAATTTTGAAGGTCATTATAAAACGTAAATTAACTAAAAATTGTATATATGCAGGGCGTTTCATTAATAATTAATTGTCTATATTCTAATTAGAGAATCCTTGACCTTCGAATCTATTATATACTACATAAAGCAGGGACAGAAGAAATAAGTTGGAAAGGCTTTTGCTAGTCTTCCCACTTTATACAAAGGATTTGACAGTTCTTCCGCGGAGCTAACCGAAGTGAACGCGATACAGTGGCCTAAATAGTATAATAAATTGTGAATAGCAGTTGAAATTTTGTAGAATTATGATTTGGGATAATAATACTTGTTTAAATTGCATTTCTAGCCCATAAATAGTTACGATTCCCCAATTCTGCCGGTAACAATTCAAAAAGATAAGGTATTATTTACATTCTAGGATACAATACTGGCGAACAAACATTACCCCAAAATTCTTGAAGTCGTCCGACGAAGTTCGACTTTTACCACCTCTCCACCTACCAAAAGCAATTCCAACTTCTGTCCCTGCTCTAGATTCGTGCAAATGAACTTTGTTTTGTCTTTCGATGCAGGGGGAAAAATAAATGTCATATAGTGTTGTCCTTAGAGCATATAAGACCAGACTGACTAGAGATATCATTCCTTATTCCTTAGTATCATTCAATGTATATTGTTATTTATTAACCGGGTCATCACTTTAGACGTGAGGGGAGAGGGGTAGGTACTCCATTCTCAAAGGTGGATTTATGCGCATCTTGTGCGTCGCAACTCGGGCGGAATACTTAATTTTTCGCATTTCGGGCGTAGGCTGCATGTAGATTAAATACCCTTCGCAACTCGGACGTTCAAGGATCGGTATACCAATAATTATAGTAATATAATGAATGTCACCTCTTTAGTTTAACCTGAGAAGGTGCTTTCGGCTTAAACTTAAAATTATATACGGAGTGCCGTACAAGAGGAGCTTGCCAGTTTTTAAATATTATGTAACTTTCATAAAACAAGATTTTTTATTTATCTTTCTCTGGGAAAATAGTCTTTATATTACATTGTTATGACATTTAAAATTTTCGTTTTTATTGAAAAAAGTATAATTTATTTTTTATATAATAATTAGATTGATAAATAATATAGTGTACAGTTCATCAAATTTCTAGAGGTGTTCGACGCCCAGACAGAGAACGCGCTACGTGTGACTAAGATAGCTATTGTACAGTCTGCTAAACAAGTTATTTTAAATAGTTTTTAATATTTTTAGGTAATTAAATTTTAAAAGTGTGGAATAGTTTAGGGATTAAATTGGTCTGATTGGACTTTCTTAGAACGTTTTTAAAAGCAGCTAAAGATAGTATGTAGAATTGAAAATAATTATTATGCCATAAAAGGTGTTTTGGAATTCCTTCAACCTTTTGAAATTGAGTCAGAAAATATAAATTTTATAGGATAGCGGAAAATACCTATAATTTTTTTGTAGGCCTTTGTAAATCGTGGAAATAGTTTATATTTTATTTCTACCTTATTAAGGAAAATGGTACCTATTATTAATAACGGTTGTTTCTGAAACATTACTAAAATTTTCGAAATTTTGTTTTTCTACAAAATAATAAACTATAATATTTAGAAAAAAATTTATTTCTCTTATAATTTTATAAAAAATAACAGGGGAATATTTACATTTCTTGATCTATTAAACAACATGATAAATTATCTCGACGAATGACACCATGTTCTAGTACGGAAGCTAGCTTTACATTTTTGTTGGTGGTTTCATGGGTTTCATATCAATTTTTTGTAATTGTAGTTTACACGTTCATATACCTCTTAACACTTGTTTGCTTTATTAAAAAAGTGTGTTGTTGTGATTTACGTCGAAATAAGTCAAAAACAACTTGAAACCCCATATAAAATCAAAAAGGAGAAACGGAAAAAAATTGAGCCTGTAAATGAACACAACTCAGAAACAAAAATAGCTATCTAATAATAAAAAAATAAAATTTGATTCTTGTGCAGCTTCATCTATATCATTAACTGTTTTTGGTTTTTTAATGGTTTTTCTTGGTGATGAAAATTCCGATATCTCACGGTTATCGATTCTTTTTTTCTCTCCAGAAATGCGGACGACAGTGTTTTTAGATACTCCTGTGGCTGCAGCAACATGATCATTTACATTTTTAAATGGTATTAAAGGTGAATTAAAGTTTACTTCTCTTCTCATAAACTCTATAACATTGGCTATTATTTCGCGAGATTGACTGTTAATCACGCGGCCTCTTAATTTGCTATTAAACTCCATACTTAGGTTCTATTAAACTGTAATGAGCAAAAAACACAAACGAAAATAAAAGAAATGTTTTAGCGAAATTTACATCTGACATTTACGTCTGAATGAAATAGTGAAATACTTGATGCGCAGAGTGTACTTTCTAGAAATTTGATGAACTGTACCTACCTCTGCTAGCTATTTAATTTTTATTTTAATACATTTTTTATGTAAGTTGGCTACATATGGAAAACTTTTTATCAAAAAAAATAATTCAGCATAAAAAGTTGTGCATGGTCTAAAACCTAAAATACAACCATCAAATATCACATTTTTTAGCCGTATACTAGGACAGTTGGCGGTATATGGAAAACTTTTTTTATTAATAATTTTATGAAAAAAATGTCCTCATAAAGCATTGTGCGTGATCTGAAACCTTAAATACAACCATCAGATATCAAATTGTTTAAGTCGTATACGAGGTTTGTCAAAAATGAATGTACTTTACTCTTGGCCAAAAATAAATTTTTTGACAAATATCGTATACGACTCATAAAAATTGATATTTGATGGGTGTATTTTTGGTTTTAGACCATGCATAAAAAAAAAAAAGATAAAACTAATAATAAAAAAGTTTTCCATATGTAGCCACTTACGTAGAATATTAAGTTGGTTTATGTTGGTTATGTTGTAAATGGCCAAGACTTGAAAAATTTCTATTTGTAAGAAGAGGAAGAAGATGGGTTATGTTGTAGTCATTTTATTATAAGTAATTTAATTTTACTTCAGCCTATATCCAGAGACAACCATATATTCTAAATAGTTGGAAGTTTGCGTCTGTTGTTGGATACATTTCTGAAATACCAGTATGTTATATTTCTGATAGGTTTCAAATTATTATTTATGAAATATATAAAATATTACATTTACAGGATATTTTTAGATTTTAGGAACGTTTCAGAAATGTTTCAGGGGCGTTTCGTAATATTTATATATTACAAATATTTCAGTGTTACATTCTTAAAATATTTACTGTGGTTTTGTGCTGTGTGGGTTTATAAAAGGTTGTTTTTCTATTTTAAATAATGTATCTGTAATTTACGCTTGGAAAAGAAGATTGTTCAAATAAAAGTTGCTTGTGATATTATTCTCTAAAAATTTTATCATATTCATGATTTTCTTAAAATGGTCCGTATTCGAAAAATTTGATAAAAAGTGCAAAATTCGAATTTTAAAGAAAATTCTTCAAATAAAAGTTGCTTACAATGTAATTCTCTATAATTTTTGTTTCATACATTTCTCTAAAACGGACCAAATTCGGGAAATTTGAAGTAAAGTGTAAAACTCGAATTTTTCTCATTATTTTCACTTGTAATACCACTATTGACCAAATTATTTCCGGAAATATGTTAGAAATCGCGAATATTTTGAATAATTTTTATTCTACACATGATTTCTCTAAAATAAACCGTAATGGAAAAATCTTCAATTTTTTTACATCAACTAACTTTTCAATGCTCACTATCTGTAAAAACAAAGCTTGTTCTGCGATGTCATTCACTTCTCTTAAATTTTCGGTAATTCATTACTACCTGAATCAGACTGTAATCAGAATCAGGGTACATAAACTATGGTCAAATTTCATATCCCGTCGACGCCCGAGTTGCGAACTTAGAGGTACACAATTTTGGAGGGCGCCCGAGTTGCGACGAATTCAGGTAGTTTTATATTACGCCCGAGTTGCTAACGCACGAGTTGAGAAAGTACCCAAAGGTGTACGGTTTGAAAGGGTTCGTATTTATGTTTACCATTTATGCAGTGTAATATCACAATAACTAATAATTTAGATAATTGATTAGCATAATTAGGGGCCCATCTTTTCACCTTTGAGTAAAGTCGTATGTTTACTTGACAAATTAGCGAACAGCAGCCTATCGTTTAATCAGCAAGTAGTTATTCAAGTTTACTCAAAGGTGAAAAGACTGGCACTAAGAGAAACTTTTTATTTATGTTAAGCTTTCGTTATACACTGTAATATATACGTGTTTTACTGGAAATGATTATGTTCGTTTTGGATTAAAAAACTTTTTTTTATTGTAGATATAGATTTTGAAACTGTATGCTTTCAAATGGATTTGTGGTCACGCATTATTTTCGTTTAGTTCAAGTAGATCATTTAAAAACTGAAATATTTTTTATATGGCATATAAAAGACAAGTAAGTAAAGGCAAGTAAAAACAAATAATAATTTATTTACAATAGTAATAATAATAAATGTACATATTTTATAATAAAATTATTAATCAATGATTGTACCTAGATGTAATATATGTGTGTAGAAGTAAGCTATTTATAAAACAATCAAAAAACGAAATAAACATTAATGCTACCAAATTCCCAAGAAATTTATTTATTATTTATTTATTACACCACTCAACAGATAAAAACCTGTTACATATAGAATGGGATGAATACAGAAAAAATACATTTTATTTGTGGGATATATCATACACATTTTCAGGAAAAAAAATGTTCAGTTTACATTTGACTGCCTATATTAGAAAATAAAGCATTTTAAAATTATCACACAAAAACTTACATACTATTAATATATGCACAATAGATACTATATACACATACAAGAGATAATATTAAATACAGTACGTACCCTTACTATTCGTAATAGACGTATTTATTAACTTTA